AAAGAGCAAGTTCTAACATTATGGGAACGACTAGCAATATTATCATGACATAAGTGATATGATCTAATTAAAGCCCATGCAACACATGAGTTACAAACAAATTCAAAACAACTATATTATCACTTTACTAGTTGACTATACAGTTTGGATGACAAAAAGAGAGTAAATTGATTAAGTACTTTATATAAATATTCATTTACGAGTAATGCTATAAGCGATTCTATGATTGCATATAAACATTAAATACATTTTAAAAAATGAAACTCTAAAACTTTAAAATATTACAAAAACGAGTTATATTAATGTAACTAGATTAGTACCCACGCGTTGCACGGTGATGATAAGCAATTTTTTCATATTTCTTTTATATTTTTTGTTGTTGATAACTTTTTAACATGACTTAGCTCGCTTTTTATTTTGTAAAAATAAAGTTTGTTAATCTTTTAATATTTAAAAAACCAAAACAAAACATGTACATCATCCTTTTTTTTTTTTAAATGATTGTAATTTAATGCTACATCATAAATTTACTATGTTATTGAAAATATAATAAAATGATGGTTAGAAAAAATATACTTCATATAAAATATTGCATTATCTAATTAATGAGCTTATACATTTAGAGTGGAAGCACAACAATATTGATGTCAAAGTCAGGTTCGGATTTTTAGTTTCATACCTACTTGGTTCCAGTTTCTAGCAAATAAATGAAAATGCAAAAAAAAATAAAAATGATGACATCATATGTAAATTTGGAGGGAAGTTTTTTAATGAGAGCTTGACACATAAGACATTTTAAAAATTGATGACATCAGCATGTTTTGTTTTTGTAATACTTAATAGATTATAGTTTAGTTATTCTCAATAATTTTATTTATTTATTTATTTTTTTTTGTTTATAATCATTCTAACATTTCCTTTTATTTTTTTACTTTTTATTATGACATGGCTATCCTCTTTTATCACATCACTTTCTCTTTTTTTCATATTCACTTAAAGTTTTATCTCCTCGTTTGTCTGCCATTTGTTGTTAGTATCTTCCCTTCTTTATTTTTATTGACTAATTCTTTGTGTTTTCCTCAATTTAATTATGATTCGACCGGTAATCTAATCTTATTTGACTTTGGACATAACCTCAACCGTTTATTAAGGTTTTATGATTAATTCAAGAGACAAAATTTAGTGGGCAACATTTTCGAGCTAACAACACAATATCATAACTTGGTTTTTGCCGTGGTTCAAAAAGTTTGCAATGAAAAGAAACGTTTTGTGTGTGTGTGTGTTTTTTTTCCAATGCTTTATATTGGGGGAACAATTTTGATGTATGAAAAACAGTGTAGTTTCATTCCAGTAATCTTGAATATTTTAATATGCAATCCAGCGATTGGTCATAATTTTTCGGTTATGGGTGTGAGCAACTAACAAGTAAGATCTTGTTCTTTTGAGCTGCTCTACTCTGCTAAAATCTGCTGTGCTCAAATCTGCTCTGCTATGTTGCCCAGAAACTCAAAAGAACAAGGCCTAATTCCTTCAACGATAAAAACAAGCTGCCTACAATATTCTTAGCACCACCTTAATGACAAGTACTCTTTAAGGCGCCATTTATAAACCATGTAACGTAACAAACAAGACTTCTTTGGTAATAATGTGGATTCAAAATATCACACATTAACCAACTAAACTAAATACCCATAGTAACTTTACTGTTAATGGAAATGATATAGACATATAGTTAGTACGGAGTACCATTTACAATGAGCAAGAAAGAGGTGTATATACAATGCATGTCTTAAAGATGATTAAAATCATGCTAAATCCTCTAAAATGATGAGGATTAGACAATGTAGTATGAGTAACTGCTTATGTCGGTTGGTCCAACTAAGTATAAAATAATAGAAAGGGGGTGGTTTAGATTCACTTAATGGTATTTGGTTTATACATGCCAATTAACTTTGATACTTTTAAAGTCTTATTGTCAATTAATGTTTTTATGAATACTTTCCATTCTAGTACACAATATGAGTGTAGACTAAGTTATACTTAAGGCGACGACCAATAATAATGATAAAATAATAACATTAACACAAAGTATCGTCTGAGTGTTATTATTATTATTATGAGTATTTTCATAGAGTGAAAATATTACTTCAAAATACTTTTCTGTTTTTTCTTTTATTACCGAGTGAAAAAAATACTTTTTTTTTTTTTTTTTGAGAAATAGTATGTAGTACTTTTCGGTAAAAAATAATACGTAGTACTTTATTGTATACTTGTATCTAAAATAGCAAAAAATAATTAAAAACAACAATATGCTAAAGGTACTAAACGGAAAAAAGAAGGGAAGGGAATAAATCAACAATCTTTTGGACCCTTGAAAGATGAAAAATTCCATAGAGCAATAATTAGGGCTAGAAAGAATTAAAGTAGGAAAATGAAGCCACTAGTGAGACAAGGTATAAGCTTGAAAGGGGACGACCAAAGAAAGAGGAACACAATCTACAGTATAAAGTAAAGAATCACTCCTTTTCTAATAACCCAACTTAATTCCGAATACTATTTACTCGAACTATTTTCTTTAACAAAAACTTTGTAATGAAATTAGTTTAGTCCCGTGCGTTGTACGGATTAAATAGTTATTATTTGTTTAAGATGATTGTCAATATTCTTTATTAGAAAAAAGTGTAATCATAATCTCATTAATTAATTTTGAAAGAAAGTATTGTGTGTGTGTATATATATATATATATATATATATATATATATATATATATATATATATGTATATTTTTGTCTTGAAACTTGGAAGGAAATAACTAGAGAAAAAAAAAATTTGATGTCAAAAACAGTTTAGGCGGAAAATTTATGAGAAGTTGACATGTGTCCCTTAATGATACCAGCGTGTTTTGTTTAGTAATAGTTAATAGATAAAGCCGAGATCTTCTAAGACTTATCAACAAGGGCTCATGATATGGATATGGAGTGTATACAATCAACCGTAATTGCAAATATGACACTTTTCTAGTAGAGATGAAAAACGAGAATTTTCCAACAATCCCTTGAAAGTACGTTTAAGAGACGTCGTGTAAAGTTAAGGAATGAGTAAAAGAAGGCCGTTCACAAAAGATGGTAAGAAGAATGGACCAATATGAAAGAGCTTTAGGCCGAGAAGTATCTATTTCTAAAGTATAATTTAGCTGGAATGCTAGATGATTTGGTTAATAAGAAAATCATTAATCTACAAGAGTTTAAGCACTTTAAAAAATTTGGGAGAATTTGGAAATAGAGAATTATTATCGATATCATCAATTGGTAAGCCATCTTATTGAAACATGCATTTGCCCAAATTCAAAGCATTTGACTTAGGCATGTAACAAATTTTAATGAACTAGTATATGCTACGTATAACTATACAAGTTATTTGAACCATTTAATGGATGATTTACAAAAATCTGGTTACTTAAAATCTTATTTACGCTTTTGCGTCGGAATTAAATTTAATTACGGAACTACTGTCCACGTAGATTCGGATAAGTTTATGTTTTTTCAATTTTTCAGAGCAAAACCGCTACCTCAAGTAGCGGTTTATGTACTAAACCCGCTACTTGAGGTAGCAATTTTAACCTTTATAAATTACTACTCCGGTATCTTTACTTGGAGTACTAAAGACAAACCGCTACCTTAAGTAGCGGTTTTAGACTATAACCGCTACTTAAGGTAGCGGTTTGTCTCTAAAGAAAAAAATACTCCAAATGTATTACCGAGATTACGTGGACTGTATTTTCGTAAATAAGTTTTATTCCGACGCAAAACCGTAAATAAGTTTTTAAAAAGCTATATTTTTATAAATCATCCCCATTTAATTAACCAAGTGTATCCCCAAATCCCCTCTATAAATTGGATTGTCTACAAAGAATCCAACCTCATGCACGCAAGCAATTAAGAATTTAAGATAGTGTCATATACTCATATTAAACTCAAAATTTCGCCAATTGGGGTCAATTTCCTTAAAAAAATAAAATAAAATAAAATTGTGGTCAAATTCTATCAACTTTAACCAATAATTTTCATCTCTATAATAATAGAGTAATACTTCCTCCGTTACTTTTTAGTTGACATGTTTGCCAATACACAACTTCAACCATTCATATTTTTAATTACCGATAAGCAAAAATTATGAAAATTTGATATTTTGAAAATATATATCGTGACTAATCTAACAAGATCCCACATGACTATATATTTCATTACGTATAAAGTACAAAACACAGTCAAAGGGGAGTGTGTAAATAGTGCTAAAGTCAAAACGTGTCAACTAAAAAAACCGAAGGTAGTATATACTATTTGTTTTGAACATGATGCAATCCTTTTTAAAATAATCTTAGGTCATGTTTAGTTCACCTTATTTTTACTAATTTAAGAAGAAAAAAAATCAGATCAGATCAAATCATAAAAAATAAGTTTTGACACACCTTATCATTTTATGTGAGGTTTTTTTATAACTAAATATCTTTAATTTCGTTAGGTAAAATATTATGAAAATTACAAATTAATAAAATACACGTCATTACAAATCTAACAAGACCCCAATATCCCACTCATATATTTTTTCTTTATAAATTATAGTACATTCATACACATAAGGTCAAATCTGACAATCAAATCAGATCAGATCATATTAGACCAGCAAAAATAAGGTGAACTAAACAAGCCGTTAGCCATCTCTATATCATATGGAGGGAAACTACATACAAAATAAAAAAGAATATGAGATGTATGTATAAAGAAATTGATGCATATATTTAAATAAATCAATGGTCAAAGTTCATTCATAAGCTTGTAATTCACCTTCACCAATTATATAGGCATAAGATAATACAAGTACTACCTATGGCATTATGATTTTCCATTACAAATGTACAAATCCTCAATTGCACAACTGTAACTAATCTCGATTCGATGTCAAATAACAGAAATATGAACGGAAAAAATAAAACTTAAGGAAGAGAAATTTCTTGAAGTTAAATCTAAAAGATCTAATAGTGTCCGTTTTGTATGCCTTTATAGGCATTTGTAAGCCTCAATTCATACATTGTTTCTACAAAAAATTTCATCAATGGATTCTAGAGAAAAAACATTTATAAGCCTCAGATTCATACATGAACATACCAAGGTTATACATGTACTCTAGTGTATGCTCAAAATTGCACGCTCTCCAGGAAAATCGCGATAATATCTCATGTATGTATAAAGAATATATGAATTTATTATTCACTTCCGCTGCAAACTATGGAGGAAGTTCTTCCTAAGCGTATTCATGAAAATTGCACTAAGTCGTCATTCTTTACCTGGACTTTTTGTCTCTGGACACTTAGTGCAAGCTTGACATGCAGGGGAGGGGACGTCATCTGAGATGTTAATCTTAAGGGTTCTCTGTGCTTCTTCATTTCCTGGAACGTAGAGCACTGCATCCAAAATTAAGATGTCGAAGTTGCGTGGACGGAAGAATGATGACCAGGAGTCATCTGCCAAAAGCAGCAGGAGAAAATATCAGCAAAGAGGAAGGGAGAGACAATATAGGCAGCACGCAGCTAATAACTGACAACCCCCCGGCCTCCACCCAAGTTGATTTAGACAATTAATCCCACTGTCGAGAACTAGTTATCATATTATTCATTCCACATGATGATGTCACAAGATATTAGTGTTTGATCCCTCTTTACTTTCGGGAATGTGATAAAACATTTTTTGGACATTCTAGAATGGCTATGTAACTTAATACTTTCAGACAATAGGAATTAGGAATATTTTGTTTTGGGCAAATCTTATCACGACATATTGCTCAAAGATTAAATAATCATTACATCAATTTTCTACGATTATCATGTAAAAAGCTACTCTTTCAGCCTCCAAGAATACTAAACAACCCTCCTCAAACAAAAGTTAGAAAAGGGAGGTATAAGAAGATCAGGTAAAAGATAGGAGATTATATGTTCACCTCCATCGCGAACAGCCTTCAAGCGAAGAACCCCATCGCCTTGAGGTCCAGAAACAGGGAATGTGCAGGAAACAGATTTTCTCTTGTGAGTCACAGCAAGCGAAGCACTATACCAAGGGCCTTTAACTACTGGTTCACCTATCGCATTTATGACTTCCTGGTTTTTGCTGGCTTTGTCCATTGCCTTGCTGAAACCAAAGAGGACAAAAGTTAATATCAAGCAGGTTCAAATTTGAGTTCAAGATAGATTCAATTATATTGTGAAATTGGAAATACTGCATAACCATTATATGTATATGACAATTCAAAGATGAAACACACTTATGCACTGAGAGAGTATTTATTAACACCTGACTGTATGAAAAAAAAAAAAAAAAAAAAGCAGGATAATTAAGTATTTAAGCCACCAGGCACCAGCCAGATAATATAATTAAGCCTGCCTTTCACAAAACTCAATCCAGGCAATACAATATATGCCAAATGCTTGTGCAGAAAACTTACTTAGGTTTTTTATTACAGAGGTTGAGGATGGTCTTTCTTCAGAACATCTCGTAACTTTCTATATATTAATAGTAAATATTAACCTTCCACCAAGACATAGTCATAATTACACATACTACACTAAGATGTCTTGAAAAGATTTAAATACTTTCTTCAAATAGGAAAATTCCACGAATCGACTTAAAGCAAAAAATTCACTTCAATTTTTAGGACTTGGGTCAATAACAAAGTACACTGTAGGTAGTGCAAAATGGTTGTTATACTTCAAGCATATCTTCTAGGAAAACTTCCCCCCACCCCCCCTATCAATTTGGTTTGCCTGTTTGGTGATGGAGAAGCTATAGGATTTCGAGTAATAAAGGATAGTATAATTGATTCACATTAAATCCTTATCTTCAATATGGAGACTGAACATTTAGACTGTTATTTAGACGAAGATAAAAATATGACTACATTTGCTAATGCATCATAATAGTCCATATGCAGCTCATATTGTCAGTTGTTACCAGTAAGGCAGTCACCACTCCCCTCCCCACCTCACCCAAAATAAGGGAAAAGAACAAAATATCTCAAGGAAAAATAATTAAAGAGATTATAGAATCTTTTTCTCATATCTACAACTGAAGATTCACCAGTTTCCCAACAAGATTCAAGCTTTGTTCACTACACTTCAACAATGTTTCAGGAACATGAAATCACTAACTCATGGCATTTCCTAATGGCTAGAAGTCTAGAATCCCAAACAAACATGAAGTATTTACTTAGACCATTGATCCATGTTGCATGCACCTTATTTTGAATCAATCTTTGTTATCTGTTACATAAAATTCACTTAGACAGCCACCCACCTCTTCTTTGTTTTGATGCGACTATGTTTTCTAACACAGAGATCCTGGGCAGCTGGGCACAAACTTTCTCTCAGGAGACAGTCTCTAGAAAAGGGGCAACGCTTAAGCCTGAAAGTGCTTTTCTTTTCTTTGGTAAAATATATTATAATTTCTTCCCTGATTGTTTTATATGTTGACTCAGTATTCAAAATATGAAGGCTGTCACTCCAAATACCCATGCTTATATATGCTAAGGTCATAAGTTGTCAAGCTATATATGGGCCAGAATAGATATCCTCGTATATAAAGGGCACTAGGGCTGTTTGGCACTATAAAGATGGACACACATTTTATAATTTCGGGAATCCCATGTACGATAAACTTTTCCTAATATAGCGGCACTACTATTTATGAGTTTTTCAAAGAGTGTCCTCTCATATATTCTTCTCTATGGGTACAAATTTGTCAAAAAGATCCCTTTTGATTCCATACCATCATTAATTCAATAAATAACAGAGAAGCAGCGTTATGAATTGATTCTAAATTTCAGTTGAGATCAACAAATATCATACAGGTTCCTCCTGTATCCATCTTGTAGCGAGTCTTCTTCTTCTTCCTTCTTGCAAGACACAATACATCCAATTAAAATCACTTTTCATTTACCCTCTCATCAAACAGTAGATCACCTTTTCCATCACTATCAATAATAAAAATAGTTAAGCCAACCTCTCTCTACACTGATATTATCAATCAGACAAACACAGTTTTCCAATTAACATGGAAAGTGAGAGAAATATTTTCTGGGGGCAAGGAGTTAATGGAAGAAGATGGTAAATTGTTGGAAAACTTCAGACAATCATATACATTTCAAATATTTATGTCACCTTAGTACCTTACTATGGTGGTGAGAATCAAAAGGGAGAAAAGGACACAGTACAAAGGAACTGAAACCACACTAAGAATCTATGAGGTCAAAAATTAATATGTAGTTTTGCATAAAGTTAATAGATATCTAGTTCCAATTAATTATACAGTGCGAGCAGTTAAATGAATGGCACAAGAGTTTTATACTTATAAAGCCACTTTCTAGCAACTACAAGAAAAGCTTGAGTCCTCCAAGGGAACTCCACTATCAACATCTTTGCAATTTAGTGGTGACCGCCACGACAACAACAATAGGCACTGTAGTTTTGTTAGGACTAACTACATACTGATACCTTTGATAATTGTATTCTCAACTATCTGAGATTAACTCTCAAATAGCTATTACTATCCCCTCACCTCTCACATATTTCGCCGAAGGAATTAAAGACATGAGTATGTGCACGCCTGAATATACCGCATCACTTTCTTTAAATTAAACTTGTAGCAGTTATTGTCACTAGCAAATTCTGTAGCATTAAGAAACTCATGACTAAATAATGTCAATTCCATTGCTTCAACAAACCTTCTAGCTCCTTATACAAACCTTTGCATTTAGGTCCATCCACAAGCCTTGCAATATATAATGAACATAATTGCAATTCTTCCTTACTTCACATAGCAGCAACTTCATCTAATGATTAGTCAACAGAATTTGGGCCTATTTGGCACCACTCTTTTTTTTTTCAATACCAAGTATGTAGTAGTGTATTAGAAATTGTTGAGAAATTCTTCAGATAACTTGACTCGTGTATCAGGTCAATCAATACGAATAATTTCTAAGGAGTTTCTGCATTGCGAATGCTAACAGCTAACAGTCTTGATATGTCAATGTCCGAATCAATGAAACACATAAATGAATCACATTGTTCTATAGTGCAATATTATGTACAAGTCATAATCACTACATTTTTAAATTCAAAAAACCAGCACGAATAAACGAATAATGAGCTGTATCATACCTGCTACATCCCTGGTAGATAGCAAGGTCATCAATGGCACTCAAAGCAACACCACCAGTAAGACAAAGCAGTGCAGTCGACACCGCTTTTCGGCCTAATGATCTGCTTTTTTCTTCATTAACAGACTTCGAAGCACTATAACAAAGCCAATCCAAAGAATTAACATATACTGACTACAAAAATTGAACATTTTCAATGATTAAAAAGTCAATTTTACAGCACAAATCAAAATGGGCAAGAAGAAAGATAGAAAATTTGAGCTAAAATGCGATAATTAGCAAATGGGTATTCATTATTAAAGATAGTAATACAATAAATTTCATCAAATAATCAATCATACAACTTGAAAAGCTAGAACCCAGAATTGAACAAACAAAGAATCAATAGACTAAAGTTATATAAGCATAATAAGAGATTAATATATGGAAGAAATTTGAGTAATATTGGTACCTGGAAAATTGATTTGATGATGAGATCCGAAAAAGAGAGGGTAAATTTCTTCTAAACATAGTTGATTTTTCTTTCAAATTTTATTATTCTAAGTGTTAAACCCTAAACAAAACAAATGAAGGGTTTCGGGTATCGACTAGCGAAGCAACAACGTGGTTTCATCCATGCCACGCCTACTAAAATGGGGTTTGATTGTTTGAACACTCCTAATTTTGCTTTTGGTTTTGTGTCTCAAGCCTCGGAAAGCCAGAGGTGGCAAATGGAGTGTTCGGGTTAAATTTAAGCCATGATTTTCTTTTCACTTAAAGTCAAAAAACTAATTAACTTAAGGTTGTATACTCGTATTCAGGCCTATAATTATTCGTTAAGCAATTTTATGTTCATCAAAATATTGATTTTGTACGCAAGTAGGGATGTTCACCAAATCAAGATTGGACCGAAAATTAAATTTAACACTCGACGCCGGTTAAGCTAGAACTGATCTTAGACAAAACTAATAAAACTGATCTAAAACTCGAACTGGATCGATTTAGATCGGTTTTAGAATTCTTCTTTATATCTTAAAATATGAATATAAATTCTCGACCATAAGATTGGATTGATATTCTTTGATTCGAGACATTGCTCGAGCCAAATAGAAAAGGTATTAGGGTGTCAAATCACACAAGATTCATAGTAAGTCAAATGTTACAATAAGCCAATAATTCAAGTATAATTAATAATAGTATTTTTTTCATGAGGCAAGAGCAATTGCTCAATGTGGAAATGTGGAGGTAAAAGAGGCACCTTCATTAAGGACAACCAAGGTTAAATTTAACACCCTTGCACCTCATATTATTATTTGGATCTAACTATTTGTACACACATAGTTCAAGCACGGTGGGTCATTAATTTATGTTCATACTGATGAGCCAATTTGAAATCATACACTATCATAGTCATTTTAGCGAATTTGAGGGGTATAATGATAAACTTCTGGCACTAATGTGAAAGCATATACTTGTAGGAGATTAGAACAATTGGCTAGCTTCCTAATTTTTAGATCCAATATTATGGGTCGAATCTCACCAAACTCATAAAACAATTATTAAAGAACCACAAAATTTGCTGATAAAAATTTGATGTAACTTTATTCACTCTTAAATAGGATACTTTTGAAAAATATGTGAGGTATTCATTCTATAATATTGATTCCAAAATATTACTTCGTATTTTACATTCATATTAAAAATCCACACACTCGAGGTGTGAAATGTGAATAGAGCTAGTAATCAATATATGATCCTCATGACCTTTTCATAAAAAACATAATGTTCCCTAAGATATTGTTCATTTGTCACATTGTTAGTTTGAAAAGAAGTTACAGTATGGAGTGTGATCAAATTACACTAGCTTACTATGATCCTTTGACATATAAAATATATAATCAAAACAATTCACAATGTATGCATATAATTTTATAAAACACTTCCATTTACATGTTCTTTACACTTTCTTTAGCCATTTTTGCTAACAAGCTTGAATTGAAGTCTAGAAAGATAAATCCTATTAATATGATCCTAGAACAGGTTAAACAGAATGACTTTTGGCAAGTTATTCTACCACCTTTCATCCCCTAACCAGTTGTTCTTCTCTTTTGGACCACTTGGTCCAGACTGCTCACAAAGTTCTCCGGGAAGCTTGCCAACCAAGTTTGCAATTGAACGACGTAACAGCAATGGAAACCGTTTGATCACCTTATCCAGCTCTTTCCTTGAATCATAAACAATATTTGGCCCCCACTCTCTCATATACTGCAGCCAGCAAGGCTCGGTAACATCTTCTCCAAGATATTCAGCAGCAATAATCTGGTAATGGGTGCTAGAATCCACAAAGAAGTTGCTTCGAGCACAATCATTTCTTATCCCAATACCAAGACTTGAAGATCCTTGAAGATAGGTTCCCGGATATGGGTAGCAAGCGTGGCCATGTTTAGATGCATAGACGACAGGTCGGTTTCCCTCTATGAACTCCAAATCACAAGCATTCTTCCACACACCACCACTGTGCTGTGAGAAGTATACACTATGAAGTTCACCGCTGAAGTTGCTTATACGAAGAGTAAAATGTTCCCAATCACCAATATGTTCACCTGTCCTGCTCAGAGCAATATTACGTGGCCCAATCTTCAGGGTGGCTGGTCCATTGAATGGTGAAAAGAGCCACATTGCCAAATCAGTGAACGTGCCACCTAAAGCTGGTTTTACATGAACATAAAGTTTGTCTGTTTCAAGGTTCCCGCGCTTGAGAACTTCCCTTCTTTCATCAGCAGGAAGGTCTAACCAAAACTCACCGTCATTTGTTCCACCACGAGGCAGATTAGAGCCTTCAGCATCAATAGGTTCACCATTAGACTGCCCAGCTTTAAATAGAAGAGCTCCATTTATGAAGAACCATGAAACAGAAGAGGGAAAGTAGACCTCATTTGGGTGGAAGAAAACAGTGGGACCATAGTGATGAATCAGTGCATGGATCTGATTGAGATTTGGCATTGCATGCCAATCGGGGTCTTTGTTTCTCAAACATGCAACCGGCATTTCTTCTCCTGCATTCCACAGGCTGGTACAACAGAAGGTTCCAACAGGGACACCTCTCCCCTGCATACCTCTGTTACGAGGCCTAGTCTTAAAGAGTTTGCAAGGGATATTCCGGAATTTAGAGTTTATTTCAAGCATTGAATCACAAGTCTCACAATCATCGACAAGGTCCTGTCTGACACATCCTACTTCAGCCAGATCAGGTTTACCAGGCTGGGTTGTCACAACAAAGCCTAAGGCTTTATAGCCTGAAGGGGGTTTCGGCAGCCAGAAGTAACTATGTTGATCATAAATTTCCATGCCGTCATCTGAATTCCAGACCAAAGTATAATCAACAGGCATCACAATGGCTGGTAAGCTAGGATCTTGAGACGCCAATCCCTTAGCAATCAGAACATGGCCATTTAAAGGCTTGTCATTTGGTTGGCAGTAATGACCAAGGCTGAAGAATCCTTCAGGTATGCCCACAGGCTTATAGAATGAAATACCTTTTCTTCTGTCATGTGACAAATGACAGCCCCAAATAAACTCGAACCTCTTTATTTGCGCAACTTCTATCTCTCCAAGGTTTATTACCCCAGTGGCAAATCCTCGCCCTGATGAAAATCAGCACAAGTGATAATTGTGAATATGTGATTCTATGGTACATGTAAGGTCACACTTCACTGTCAACTTAGTGACTGTAGTTCAATTACTTTACATCTAGATTTTTAAAACCATACGAACGTGCTCTAGGATGTCCAGAATAAACTGAGTTATTTTCATCCTAGGTAGGGCTACGACTAACACGAAACTACATGATGCATGCCAAGTCCTGTTATCCTTGCTTTGCTCAGTTTAGGCAGAAAAAGATGCTCTATTTTCTTTATGATAAAACACTATCGATATGCAAAATTGGTCTAAAAGTCCATGCTGATTGATTATCTATTCCACAAACAGCAGCAATCTTTGTAAATCATAGAAAGCAATCAAATACTAGAATAGTCATAAATGCACGGCGAGAAAATTATTAAGTAAACATATCTTAGTATAATTTGACTGATGTATTTCTGAATATGAAATCTTTTACTCTAGATGATTGCAACATAAAGCATATAATTGTAAGAGCAAAAACAGGAAGAAAGCAACAGTTTGTACTATTGACAAAACAATGGAAGACATTTGCAAAAGAACAATTAGTTAATTGAATTTTAAAAAAAAATGAAAACATGTATTGTCATTTGGCAGCTTCTTCAATGGCTGTACATTTCATTTAAGGACACCCATAGTCAATTATTTACCCAAACAACCACACTTTCTTGTGAAACAGGGTCGACCATTTACCCCTATATAGTTTATACACATATAACATTTTACGTATTAGTGTATTACAGTATATGAATTATAGTGTGACACGGTCTCATATGACTATGTAAAATACGCTTATCATTGACAATGTACATAGCATTAAGATTAGTATGATCATGAAATTTTCTGCCTACTTAAATCATAAAGAAAGATTTTGTCACTATATTAATCATAATCAATTAACCAAATTAAACACAGATTTTACCAAACAACATACATAATAAGCAACCTAGAGAGTAAAAACATGATCAAGTTCCACATTTTCAACTACACCCACCGACCCACATGCTCATATGAGTGATAACCATATCCCGAGATCAAATCCAGTCTACATCACTGAGATATAACAACGCCAACAAAAACATTCTTCAACAAAATAATAAGAACAAAAATGACAGGTAGAAGAAACACACCTTCTGGCCATTTAGGCAATGGAGCCGGTAACAAGAAAGTGTTTAAAGAAGGCGACATATTTACAGATTTAATTCCATAATTTCTGGGACACCCAATAATCTTGCTCAACCACACCCCCATCAAATCAACTCAACTGTAATTGATCAAACCCATTTTCACAAAACGGGTTTCCGGGGAATCGGGTTTGGGTTTTACCCTGATAAGTTTAAGAAGTTATACAATCAAGAATTCTGCAGATTATTATTGATCATGTTTTTGGTGTTGTTCTTGAATTTTCAGGATTTTAATGTTGTTTTTGAAAGGAGAGGGAAGATGGGTTTAAGGAAGATCCGAATGAAAATCCGGGTTTCAAATAGTAGGATGTAAAGGAAAGGAATGGAATCAATTGAATTCTTTGTTGATGTTGTAGTCTTTTCTTGTTGAGTGGTATTCTTTGTTTGTTGGACTGCCTCTACCAAAAAGGAAAAAAGAAAGCTAAACTATGCCCACCAATCCATGATTAGAATCTTTAAATTAATAATGTTATCCCTGTGTGGAAAAGGAAAAAATAAATAATGGTGACCCCAATTTTTGCTACATACACCAGTACATATGGCGACCCTCTTGAAAATCAGTTAGGAAAATTGGCATGAAATAATACCAACTATTAACGGTCAACTATTTGTTATTAGCGGTACGACCTTTTGTAATATATGCAAAATAATACGCCGATCACCGAAAAAGTATTTCAAGGAATATTTTGTCTATATTTATTATTATTATTTTATTTTTATTAATTTTCTGTTTTCTTTTCAAAATACATATAAGGTTAACAAATTCCTTTATAATCCAAATTAATATTGCCCCACCCCTTGTTAGGCTTTTTTTTTTTTTTTTTTTTTTTTGAATTGTTAATATGCATTTAAATATTTATTTTTCAAAATACCTGTAATAATTTCTACCATCACACAATATTAAATAGGGTATTTAAATGCATTATTATGTTGATATATTTAGTTTCAAAAATCCAAAATTTCCCCACATTCACCAACCAAGATAGTATGGGAAATTTTTGAAATCTTTAAATTTTTTTTGAAACTAATTATATGAAATTAATAATGCATTTAAATAACATATTTACTATTGTATGGTAGTAAAAATTACTACACGCATTTTGAATAAAAAAAAAATTAAATACATATTGACAATTCAAAAAAAAAAAAAAAAAAAAAAAAAAAAAAAAAAAAAACTAACAAAGGGGTGGGGCATTATTAATTTGGACTGTATTCTAAAGGAAATTGTCAGCATAATATGTATTGTGAAAAAAAATAGAAAATTAATAAGAAATAAAAAAATTAATTAATTATAAAAAAAATTAATAATAATAATAATAATAATAAATATAGACAGAATATTCCTCGCGACACTTTTCAGGTGACTGGCAAACTATTTTGCACATATATTACAAAAGGTGGTACTGCTAATAGCAAATAGTTGAATTCGTATTATTTTGCACTCACCATTGATAGTTAGTATTATTTTAAACCAATTTTCCTATCAGTTATACAAAATGACCTTATTTAAGAATTTTATCCCACTTATAACCATATTTCATTAAAATGTTAATTAAAGTTAACTATGGTTAGATTTATTTTTATTTTTTTTTAAAGAAAAAAAAAACACTTAAAAAAATTAACAACCACCAACCATCTACCTCCACCACCTCCTTCACCGAAACCCTAACCCTACCACCTTACCTAAGCCACGGCAAAGGGCTAGGTTGTCAAAGGAGGGAGGTGTTTAGGGTGGTTTGGGTTTGAGCGGCCGGAGGAGAGAGAAAGAGGGGGAAGGTCGTGGGTTGTGGTTCGAGGAGGAGCGGCACGGTTTGAAGGCTGCGATGGTGGCTGTAGTTTGGGGCAACGGTGACGAATTGGCGGCTGGTGGTGTTGGCTGTAGGGATGACAATCGTAAACGGATATCCGCTAATCCGATCCACTCGATATAATTAAATGGACGAAAATCCGTGTTAAACGGATGAAGGGCGGGTGATGAATCGGGTCAGATTCGGGTGGGGGTCCGTTTCATCCGTCACCCGATCCGTCATCCGTTTATCACCCGATCCGTCATCCACCCGATAACATATACATATATTTATCATATTTTCTTAAAAAAAATAATATATTATAATTTTTATTTTGTAGAAAAATAATTTATAATTTATACTGTATTTTTTTTGAAGCAAATATACTGTATTTTTTTTAATTAATATACTGTATTTTTACTTATGTTTCTTAAAAATATAAACCCTCCTAATTTAAGAAATCCTAACCACTTAATTTTGAACGCCTCTGCTTTCACTCAATTTTGCCTCTCACTCTCTCAGTCTCTCTCATCTAACTCGGCGTCTCAGTCTTTCATTTTTCTCACCGGCACTCCGGCAGCACTCCTCACCTGCAGGCTGCGACACTCCTCACTGACATCGGCGGTAACGTGGCACTCCTCACCTCCTGCTCGCCATCAATAGTTTCATCTAAGCTAATTTTCTAGTTGATTAGTCTAAATAATTCTCCTAAATTTTATGTAAATTACTAATCAACTAATAGTTTTCAACTTTGTTCAATTTCTGATTTTGTTTTTTAATTTCAAGATTAGTAGATCTGTTTATGAAAGCTATACTATTTATTTTTCTAGTTTGCCTCTAAATTTGTGGTACTGGTTTTTAATTTCTGGTGATGTCGTTTACTGATTATAGAGCTTTGTTGTTGCTTTATTTTTTTTTATGCTCTTATTGATCTACATATCTTTTTGTCAAAATGTTGGTGTGGGTGTGATATGTTTGCCAGAAACTTTGTTTTTTGGCTAGAAACTTTGAATTTCATATAACTAATGAGAAAAAAGGGCAATACTTGATGTTATAATTTTATTTTTTTTATAATAGTAACATCAATAATTTTGATGTAATTTTAGTGATTTTTTTGATGTATTTATTAAACTCAAAATTACAATTATCACCCGCTATAACAACGCAAATTAAATGTGCGAGCGAGAAAGTTACACAAGCAACACACTCCAACCAAAATTATATATTACGGATTTTTCACCATATATCACTGAGTTTTAAATTAATTCACCATATACCACAAAAAATTTCTAATTTACCATGTATCACTGAGTTTAACATAAATGTCACAACATGCCCTTAATGACTAACGCCCTTAACTCTGGTAGTCATTAAGGTTAATTGTGCCACGTGACTTGTCACTTATTGGCTCTTATTAATATTATTTAATTAATTGCTTAAATAAAGACTTAAAAAACTTTTAAAAAATTAAAGAAAAAAAATAAAAAAAACCACCACCAATCTAGTCATCGCTGTCCCCCCCCCCCCGCCCAACCTGATCGGCACCTAAGTGGTCGGCATCCATCGCCCTACCCCCACCGGCGACAACCCCCGCCCCCAACCCTCTCCTTTCCTCCATGATCCTTTCCCCAATTTCCACAACCCCACCACCAATTTACCTCCCAGCCACCCTCTCGCCTACCAGCAGCGCCTTCCCCACCCCGGCGACCGGCCATACTGGCCTTCCATCGCCGGTCGACCCACCCCTTTACCTTTAATCCTTACCTTGACCCTCTCCCTTCCCCCATCGTGCCACCAACCAAACCCTAATCCACGAAATCACTCCCTAGCTCCGACAAAAAAACCTAATTTTTTGTACTTTTCACTTCTCCAACCTGGTCGATTCTTCTCGTGGGTGGGTTTTGGTGTGGCTGAAAGGGTTCGGGGGATTGTAGGTAGATTTTCGGGAGTGGTGGTTGGTTTTAGAGGTTGTGGGTGGTTTTCAATTGTTGTGGTGGGGGTTGTGGATGGATTTTCGGGAGTGGTGGTGGTTTTTAATGGTCGTGGCTAGGGTGAGGGGCGGCACCGGCACAGGCGCAGGGGAAGGGGAGTTTGGGCGCCGATGGCAGGGTGGAAGGCAAGCTGGGGGCGGTGTGGGGGGCGAGGAGGATGGTTGACTGGCTAGGCTTGGGGTGGTAGGATTTTTTTTTTATTTTTTTTTAAATATTTTTTTAATTAATTAATTAATTTAAATAAGAACCACTCAAATGTTGCCACATGTCACAGTTAACGTTAATAACTAACAGAACTAACAGAAAATGGCATATTGTGGCATTTATGTTAAACTCAGTGGTAAATGGTGAATTAGAAAGTTTATGGTGGTATACGGTGAATTAAGTTAAAACTCAGTGGTATATGTTGAAAAAATCGTATATATTAAGTGAATCGCTAAACATCGCCCGCAAATCTCCACATAAAGCCCACAAATATGTGTTGAAGTGACTTTATTACCCTTTTCTTTTTTAAAAAAACACCCTCTACATCTCTCTAAAAAAAATCAGAAAATCTACCTCTCTAAAAAAAATTAATTACGACAATGTCGAGGCGGCAAGGGAAAGAGATGGCGGCGGCGACGGCGGAGGAAAGGCGGCGACCTGGTGGCAAGGTAATTGTTTAAATATTTTTTTTTTTAAAAAAAAGGGCGAAGGTGGCGCGTGGCGGGGCGTCAGGTCCGGCAGCCAACGTCGGTGGCGTGGCGTCTGGCTTGAAAGCCCAGCCACCGGACAGGCGTCCAAACCAGACGCCAGACCATTGTCTGTGGCGGCCAGATCTGGCGCCTGTGCCAATGGGTGGGCGTCCAGTTCAGGCGCCTGCCCACTGGCTATGGCTGCCGGAGCTGGCGCCACCGCCAGTGGGTGGGCGTCCTGGCCAGGCGCCCCACCTTTTTTTTTTGTTTTGTTTTTTTTTATTTTTTTTTAATTTGCAAAATCAGAAATTTAGTTAATGTGTTTAAAATAATTTTTTTTTGTTAATGTGTTTTATTTTTTTTAAATATCTATCAACTTTATGTGTTTTTTTTATAAATCGTGTATATTTTATTTTTATAAAATCAGATTTTTTTTTGTGTTAATGTTTAATTTTTTTTTTTGTTTGATGTTTAAACATTTTTTATGCCTTAATTGATGTAATATGTGGAAATTGTTTGTGTTAATGTGTAATTATTATTTTTATTTAAAATGTGTAATACATTAGGGTATTATGTGTGTATTTGTGTATGTGTTATATATTTGTTTTTTATTTTTTATATTTAATTATTTGAAATAATTTTTTTTTTTTGGAAATCAGAAATATTGTAATATATTAGGGTATTATGTGTGTATATGTGTATGCATTAGGGTATTATGTGTGTATTTGTGTATGCCGTATAATATTTTTCTATGTTTAATTATTTGAAATAATTTGAAATTTTTGTTTTGTGTCCTATTTATTTATTATGTCTTTGATTTTTTATAATCTTTATTAATTTTATGTTTATAAACATGACGATATGTTGGAAGTGTTGGTATTTTGTATGTATAGGTAGTTATTTATTTTTCTATAAAACTTTTGTATGTTTATATATTTTTTAATTTTTTGTAGAATTCACTGGGTCGTCATGGTGCGGGGAAAAATGTAGAGCTTCTTAGTAGAAGCTATTCAGTGGAGAGGTCAGGGCATAGACATGTTAGATCCCGTGGTATTTCGGCCTCGGCTCGTAGAGAACGGATCCACCGTCGGGATGAGGATGACGATGACGATGATGATGCTGAGGAGGGTGACCAGGAGGAGGAGCAGGAGGAGGACGCATATGAGGATGAGGATGTGGACGATGGGAGTGGACCGTATGATGATTACGGTCCATTCAGTCAGAGGGTTGATGACATGTACGAGACACATATGGTAGAGGTGCGTAAGGGTAGGGGTGGTAGGTTTGTTAGTAGATCTGGCACATCATCTGCGTCCACTGTGTCTGGGGCAAGCAGGAAACGGTCGAGGGCCGTTAATGATTCTTGGGTTGTTAGGAGTGAGGTGCCCGGTGGGCCTGTTGACGGGAGTGTGATTCCTAGCACACATAGCTACCCGTATTTGGGAGGACCAGGAGAGGCCTTTAGTTACGGGGTCGTTGAAATGTCATACCTGGGAAAAGACTTGTAGCTTTTTGCGTACATGGGCTGAGGCTTGGCCGGCGGAGAGCGAGATGTTCGAGCGACTGGAGGGCACTGGGGTGAATCACGTTCCTGCCACCATGCACGATAAGATTGACACTACGCTGATCACGGCTTTCGTTGAGCGATGACAGCCGGATACAAACTCTTTCCACCTTCCGTTCGGTGAGATGACGATCATGTTACATGACGTCGAGGCCATTTTGGGGATTCATGTTGAGGGTAAACGACTTTGTGCTGTGACTGATGCGGATCAGGCAGATTTGCTAGCGGAGTTGTTGGCGGTGGACAGGGCTGCACTGTACACCGAGGCGCTTGGTGTTTGGGAACACGGCGGTGTGAAGATCGCATCCGTGTTGCAGCGGTGTTTGTACCCCAGTGCATGTAGGACGCACGACGCACAGCTGGCTGCTTATGTTTTTCTGCTCCTCGGATGTACCTTGTTTCCGGATAAGAGCGGCGGAAACAAGCTCAGGCCACGCGACATAGTAGAGGCGTGTGACCCCGACAGTGTAGGCCAGTTTTCTTGGGGATCGGCTACGTTGGCGTATTTGTATCGCCAACTAGGATTTGCGAGTCGGGCTGACGCGGCAGGTATCACTGGGTGTCTGACTTTATTGCAGACCTGGATATACGAGTACTTTCCTGCATTGCGACCACATCGTGACCCGGTTCCTATTGATGAGGGGATGCCGCGTGCTTGTGCGTGGAGTCCGCGCTCGGAGAAGAAGTTCGTTGACCGCCTCCGATCGATACGGTTATTGCTTGACAGGCTGTCCCCTTTAGAGGTAACGTTTATAAATTATTTCTATAATTTATTATATGCACTTATTATATTCATGTTATTAAATTTTAAAACTATGTGTAGGTGAACTGGATGCCTTTCGGCCCGAACCCTAGTGTTAGGGTACCCAGGACCCTGTACACGGGACTCATTCAGTATCGTGAGATCGTGGAGGCGTACATGCCCCAGCGTTGTCTTCGCCAGCTTGGATTTGTCCAAGTTGTCCCTCCTCCCCCGGAATGCCCGATGAAGGCGGTCCGACCTGCATCGTCGAGGGACTACGTTGTGCATTGGCCGGATATCATGACTGGGACGTGGGACCAGTTTCCGATGGTGGCCCGCTTATGGACTGCGGAGTTACAGAGGCCGCCATCTGGGGTTCCTCCCATGTGTGACCACTACTACATGAAATGGTTCAACCGGTATTCGCACCCGAGGTTGATCGCAGATCTCGACCACAGCGATGATGATTATATGCCACCGCCTACTGCCATGGAAGCGGTATGTCTCATAAAATATTTATCGTTGTTTTTTAATTAAGTTTTATATGTTGTTATTGTATTTCATGTTTTATTTTTTGTTGTATGTAGTGGATGGGAAAGATAATGCAAGACGTACAGAAACTCTCTCTGGAGAAGGACAGCATGAGTGCAACAGTGAGAGCTGCTGTTGATAGTCTGGAACAGACCCTTGCGCATTGGGAGTCGGCGTCGAGGAGGGATTACTGATGGTTTTGGCATTTTATTTATAGAGCACTTTAAATATTATCGTTTTAATTTATTAAATTGGACATTATGTTTTAATTTTGTAACATTTTAGATTGTTGTTTTAGCTTTCAACTGTGACATATTATCATTGTTGTTTTTAAATTTTGACATAACCGTTTGTGGATCCGCGCAACTTACCCATGCAACATATAGAATGTAGTAAGCAATACAATATAAAAAATTAATGTTCTCATTAAAAGAGCAACGTACAAATAAGGTTACATAGGAAGAATGTAAACATGAAATTCGTGGATCCGGTCATGATATAGCGCATCTCAACCCTCTACGCTCGTTGTGCTAATGGTGTACCACCGAGGTATAATCGGTGGCACTGGAAAATCGGATGACATGTCTAGTCGGATGAAATGTCTGTATGACGACCCAAGAAACGCAATAGCTACCTCTCTGACCGGTGTAGTGACAGTCTCACGCGAACGCCAAGGGAGAACCGTGGTACAAGGATAATAAGCTTGACTATGCAATCCCAGCCCGAAATGCATGACTGTGCACTTGTAAATGTTTGCAACGGCAAACAGATTTAGGGGCGCGTCAAAATAATGATTTTGACCGCAAGGTCCACCTCCCCACCGGATATGCCGCAGAGCGCCATCCAAGTCATCCCGGTACACATGACGATAAACATTTCGGTTAGAGGCAATTTCGATGTACATCAACTGACGCACCAAACCGTAGTTGTGTTCGCCCATTTGAAAAACATCAGCCACGACCCGGAATCCGCAGTTACCATCTCCGACTACATCATTCCACCCTTCCAAGTACGGCATGATGATGTTAGGTATCCTGTCCTTGTACGGAAACTAATCAACATCGTTTCTTCCTATTCACCATATAATTAAACACAGTTAAGAAGGTAGAAGTAACCTTATAAACAATGTGCAATGTAAAAAACCAAACGTACCAGTTCTCAGGGGCATATTCACAGACGATGAAGATTGACTACGACTAGATGACGATGTCCGACCACGAGCACGACCACGACCAAGACCACGAATATACTCAAACGCACTCCTGTTCCGCCGTTGGCGACCTCGAGGACGGTCAACTCCTTCGGGTTCCTCAAAATCTAAGGTAGACGTGTGGAACATGTCATGAAGTACATGAGTAGCGTCACGAATAATAGAAGGATGAATGGAGGACACTCGGTCGTACATCGAACGAAACTGCTCCAACTCCTCCTGTTCACGGTCGGTCGTTTGAGTATCTGCATGCTCACCAATAACGAGCGTCCGCCAGAATGAATGAACCTGATCAACATGTAACGACGCCCTTTCTTCTGTAATAACGCGGTGAATGGTACATGCGCAAGGTAATCCATGAGTTACTGAAATAGCACACCCGCATCGAGTATACACTTCGTCAGCCAAGTCCCTCATCCTGTTCAGCTCAGTCAGAATCAACCCCAAGCAGTAGTGCGACACACGACCATGGAGAATCTTAAATATGAAATGGCTATACATCGTACCATGTCGTCGTATGGAGTCCTCTAGAGAGTTCCTGATGCCGTTCTTCTGAGTTTCAATTGACTTGTTAAGTCTATCGAACAGTGTATCCAAAGCAGCGGTCGATGAATCAATCCAGTCCTTGGTAGCTTTATGAGCGCTATCAACTCTACATGTTGTAGTGTTCCCGAAATGAAGTACTTGGTTTGTCCAATATTTGACAAACTTTTCCCTGTGAGGGACCCATTGCTGCATCACATAGTCCACCAGTGCCGGACACCACTGGTACGAATCCTTGAAGTTAGCCAATTCTCGCTCGTACACTTCCTCTGTGGTAGCCTGTAGGATCTTCCGCCACTTACCATTCACCAATCTCTCTGCCATTTCCAAATTCTTGTTGAAAAGGTTGTAGGCTTTCACTTTCACGCAGTTGTTGATGTGCCATGTGCACAACAAGTGCTTCGACTCTGGAAACAACTCCCTTGGAAAGAGACCTCCCTCGCAGTCACTAACGATGGCTGCTGGATGAACATTAGGACCGATGTAGTTTCTCAGCTTCTCCAAGACCCAATAATAACTTGGAGCCGTCTCATCCTTGATGATTGCATGACCAATCAGAAAGTTCTGGTTCGTTGGAGTCATCCCCATGATCTCAACCAGTGGGAACTTGTACTTGTTTGTCTTGTACGTTGAGTCGATCAAAATCAGAAATGGCCAAGACTTGATCATATCAGCACAATCAGGATGCACAAGGAAAAGATGAGTCACCTCCGCTGTATCTTCATCAGAATCAAACCAGAACAGGTAACCACGTGATTGTGCCTGGTGTAGCAGCTGCTGTATAGGGTTCCTTCCCTCTGACCGTTCAAACCTGAGTTGTTGTCTGACGTTGTAGATGTGTCTTCGGTTTGGATGGTATTCTGGAAATTTCTCTAACACAGATGCTAATATTTTAGCAGGCTTGACTTGAGCATCACTCATTTCTTTCACAACTAGTTTCGCAGCAGGACTTAAGCCGCTCAGCTGTCGATGACCCTCTTCATATACTATCATCTCATGGTTGTGATACCCCCATTTAGAGTAACCAATCACTTCCCAACCGTCACGACTCCGTAGTTGTCGAACCTTTACTCTGAACTCACACCCACAACCTTTCCGCTTTGTATCAAACCGAGTGGCTGTACGAAAATCTCTTTCTTCTCTTTTGCGATAACGGTCGCATCTCAAAATGCGATCCATTCTACCATCCCGTTGAGATTTATGAGTTACTACTACCAAGCAAAATCCAGCTGTAATTGCAACCTGTTTTGCCCAATCAATCGCTTGTTGAGCTTCTTCGAATGGACCATCATGTCCAAAGATCCCACTGTAATCATTTCCGTCTCCACCATAATCCTGCATCAATTATATATTATAATAAATACATTTAATGGATAATACATTTAATTTCTATATTTACACAGAATTAACACAAAATTAAAAACATAATTATGTATAATATTATTCATACACATACACATACAAATTTTAAACACAATCATTTATAAAAGTCACATAAACAATTAAATATTTTGGTATACATTAACACAAATCTACTCACAACATAAATAAAAACATTAAATTATTAATTTTAATTTAAAAAAAAACCGTTTTGAATTTTCAATTTGAAATAAATTAAAAAAAAGAAAAAAAAAACCATTTCCAATTTTTTTTTAATACAATTTCGAATTGTCAAACTTAATTTAAAAAAAAAACCATTCTCAATTTTCAAACTTAATTTTTAAAAAAACCCATTTCGAATTTTCAAACTTAATTTAAAAAAAAACCATTTCGAATTTTCAAACTTAATTTTTAAAAAAACCCATTTCGATTTTTCAAATATAAAACAATTTCGAATTAAATGAAAAAATCATTTTCGATTTTTCAAATTGAAAAAAAAACAACAATAACAAAATTAAAAAAGGAAAAAAAAAAACAAAAAATGGCTGGCGTCTGGCAGGGCCGCCACAGCCACTGGACTGGCGCCTGGCCAGGACGCCTGTCTGGTGGTGATGGCGTCTGGGCTGGACGCCGGTGCGGTGGTTCTGGCGTCTGGCTTGGACGTCCGTGCTACGGTACTGGCGTCCATCCTAGGCGCCGGCGCCACTGCACGACCACCTCTTTCAGACGCCGTTACGTAAACCGTGAATTTTAACGGTGACTTACCTCGTTTTCCGTCGACGACGACGTACCTCCGGCGTCCCCCGCATCTCCGGCGTCCCCCGCATCTCCGGCCTGCCCTCCGGTCTCCCCCGGCGAGCCAGTACGGCTCCACATTTTTTAAATCGAGATTTGTTCAATTTTAGAAAATGGGCATAATTGTCATACCAAGTCATATTTGTGGGCTTTATATGGTAATTTGCGGGCGATGTTTAACAAATCCCTATATTAATATATTATACATAATACATTTAATCATATCCAACCAAAACTATATGATTATAAAGAATACAAGACAACTCAACATTTTTTGTTCATCATTGATGGGATCATCGTCAAATGATACTCACATTGATAGTGATTGCCTTAGTATTATTCCTAGTGCTTCCTTCAAAGCATCGATGGTGATTGCCTAAGCACTAAGCATAATTGTTGTGGACATGAAATCATGAATGATCATAAAAAGGGGTTTATGAATTTATTTGCTTCAAATGAACGACTTTTCTTAAACCCACTAAACCTCAAAGGTTATAAAAAGAATATACACTTGGGGTGTTATGTAATAAATGAAATTAGTCAAAAATCAATGTCAAATTAAATCATTTATTTGTGTTTTTTAAGAATAGAATTTGTTGCTCTATATGACTTTTTTTACAGAGCTTGTTAACCGCCTTTATTTGAGAGAAGCACAATTCGATTCGACACGAAAAACACGCTAGCTATAATTAATGAAGACAGGTTAAGCTTAGTTACACAAGCATGACATGATGACATGTGGATTTGGGCCATGCATGAGCCAACCCTTTGAAAATTTCAGCACAACACGTAGATTGTGGGTCGCGCCTAGATAACCCAAAGTACGTGAGCTCGACACCAGACATGACCCAAAATGATCCACAACAATCTTTAACGTATACAAACAATGAGGTTTGAACTTTTGATAAATTCTCTCCTTATTTGTATGAGGAAAAATTAGGAAGATAATTCGCGAAAAAATAGAGGGAAAATGAGTAAGGCTGTTTTCAGGTAAACTTAGTCAAGCAATTCAGAAATTATCAAATTACATATCGTAAAAAATTCATAATATCGTAAAAAAAGTTATGACAATTCATATTTGGAAAAGTACTTATAAGATTGGTTAGTCACTTCACCGATCACTAATTAACTTAGGATGTAGGATGAAATCCTACCGAGATTATTATGGTCATATTTCTCTTTAGTAAATGCTAAGTAAAACACAATTCCAAAAAAAAAAAAAAAATCCTAATCTTATTGTAAATTTAGTTACATACTCTATAATAGCCTAATAGGCAAAGTCATTTACTTCGAATTTCATTTACATTACCGTCTTTTTCACGTTCCATAAACGGAGATTATTCTTCCTTTCCCTCCTAAAAATGACAATTTTGCCCTTGAAAGGAGAAATATCACCCCTTCCACTCCATCCACATCCAGTGGGACCCCAATTCCAGAAAATACAAAACAAAAACAGAAAACAAATGACAGTCAAATGCTCTTTCATTCCTTTCAAAGCAAAGACCATTCAACTCTAAAACTTCTTTCTTTACTACCATTCAAAATTTCCAGCTAATAATACTCCACCATGCCCAAAAGTTGACCTCAACCCTAAAACCTAAACCCCCCATTTCATCTTCTTCTTCATTTCAATCTACTGTATATGTATTTTTTTCTGTTTAATTATTCTGGGTAATTTTCAGTGATGAAGAAGAAGCAAAATTCAGATCTACCCACTTTCCAATTCATCATTTTCTCTCTCCTAACTCTCTCTGTTGCAGCTGAAGATGATGTAAAGTGTCTGCAAGGTGTAAAAAACAATTTGAAGGACCCACAAAGTAAGCTTAATTCATGGAATTTCAAAAATTCTTCTGCTGAAGTTGCTTTTGTCTGCAAATTTGTGGGTGCTTCTTGTTGGAATGACAAAGAAAATCGATTAATTAGTCTTCAACTTAGAGATTTTCAACTTTCTGGGGAAATCCCAGAATCTCTTGAGTTTTGCACTAGCATTCAAAACCTTGATCTTTCTGGTAATTCTCTTACTGGTACTATCCCTTCTAAGATCTGTTCATGGCTTCCTTATTTGGTAACTTTGGATTTGTCTAGTAATAAATTATCTGGTCAAATTCCATCTGATCTTGGTAAATGTCAGTATTTGAATAAATTGATTTTGTCTGATAATCAGTTATCTGGAAGTATTCCTGTGCAATTGTCTAGTTTGAATCGATTGAATGACTTTTCTGTTGCTGGGAATGGATTATCTGGGCCAATTCCGGAGTCTTTTGCTCATTTTGCCAAGTCAGGGTTTGAAGGGAATGATGGGTTATGTGGGGATCCAATTGGGTCGAGTTGTAATGGATTAAGTAGGAAGAATTTGGCGATTATTATAGCTGCTGGTGTTTTCGGGGCGGCTGCGTCGTTGTTAGTAGGGTTTGGGGTGTGGTGGTGGTATTTTTCGAGGGCGAGCCGGAGGAGGAAGGAAGGGTATGGGCTAGGGAGAGGTGATGATGGTACTTGGATTGATAGGTTGAGGGCTCATAAGCTTACTCAGGTTTCCTTGTTTCAAAAACCGCTTGTGAAAGTTAATCTATCGGATTTGCTGGCTGCTACTGATAATTTTAGCGTAGAGACTATTATGATCTCGACTAGGATGGGAACTACATACAAGGCTATGTTGGCGGATGGTTCTACTTTGGCAATCAAACGACTTAATACGTGTAAGCTGAGTGAGAAGCTATTTAAGACGGAGATGAATAGGTTGGGAAAGCTTAGGCATCCAAATTTAGTGCCATTGTTGGGTTATTGCCTTGTGGAAGCTGAGAAGCTTTTGGTATATAAGTACTTGTCTAATGGGACTTTGTATTCAGTGCTACATGGAAAAACGATAGAATTGGATTGGCCGATGAGGTTTAGAATATGTTTAGGTGCTGCCAGAGGGCTTGCTTGGCTCCATCATGGAGTGGAGCCTCCGCATTTGCACCAAAACATAAGTTCAAATGTGATTCTTCTTGATGAAGATTTGGATGCTAGGATCATTGATTTTGGGTTAGCAAGACTTATTTCGGCCTCAGAATCGCAGAATCAGAGTAGTTTTGTTAATGGGGATTTAGGAGAGTTTGGGTATATAGCACCGGAGTACTCAAGCACCATGGTGGCGTCACTTAAAGGGGATGTTTATGCATTTGGTGTAGTTCTTTTGGAATTATTGACAGGCCTGAAACCATTGGAAGTGAGTGCTGTAGAGGAAGGGTTCAAGGGGAACTTGGTGGATTGGGTGAATCAGCTGTCGAGCTCTGGGCGACTAGTGGAAGCCATTGATAAAGATATACGTGGGAGAGGTTATGACAATGATATTCTTCAGGTTTTCACAATCGCCTCAAATTGTATAGTATCTCGTCCCAAAGATAGATGTTCCATGTTGCAGGTTTATGATTCACTAAACAGCTTGACCGAGGACCATCCTTCCGATCAATTTGATGACTTTCCATTGATTTTCGGAAGACAGGATATGGATTAGCCACCTTTATACCAGCATATTATCCAGGTTCACAATGATATTATTTGAGAGCGTGGTTCTTTTGTGCTGGTGAATTTGTATAATGCCCTTGTATAATGAACCATTTTGAAAATTTATCTGTTGCAAACGAAAATAGATACCCAACTTTTGGTGGAAAGCTACCTTTGAGTCTCTTGATGTCTGTGATATGCTCTCTTGTTTTGAGATGCATTATCTGAAGTTTGTTGTAGCATGTAATGTCATACTTCATTGTACTCTGTGTAAATCAAAAGATGAATCAAACTTTCCTTCAATCTTTGAGGAAAGAAGCGGAAAATTGTCCAAATTTTCTAGTCAAGCTTATTACTCCGTATATAATGTACTTGAATAAATTAGTCTCTTCAATTGCAAAAATTGGCTTGTTTTCAGAACATCTTTCTCAGGAATGAGGTTTCACTTTGATTGTCCAAGTATGCTTTCAATCGTGTCTATACCTATCGTGAGTTGAGAACTAGCTGTGCTGTGTTGTCTCTTTTAAATTTTGGTTAGAAGTTGCCTCTTTGTTTCAAGATTATATTCTGGTATTCTTGATGTCCTGCATATAGTGGATATGAATAATCAGGCGAATGCAGTTGACACCAATCCTACCATCTCCAATTCTCTGACCTGAATTCTCCCTGTTTCAGCTGTGTTATTTCAAAGTACTCTGCTGTACCAGATACTGTTGTACTGTTGTACCAGTGGAAACATCCAAATGTATTACCGCGAGTTAAAAGAGCAGTGATTGTGTTTTGTGTATGGATGTCTCAACTCAAAGGTATGAAACCATGTTGCTCCCTATACTCCGAATCCCTCTTTGGTTGTTCAAAACTTCTTATTTGTATCCCTTTACTTTTTACTTTTGAGTTTTTCCATTGACATCCAAGTTTTTGGCAATTTGTATAGTAAAGCATATTGTACTTTGCTAAGTACAACCAGACTCATTTACCATCATTCAATCCAACCCACCTTCTTCCCATAAAGATCCAGCCTTTTTAGTTATTACCACCATCCTTTATTCTCTTTCATTTTATTACCACCGAAAAATACAAATATTTCAAATTTATTACCAAGCAAGTTAGATTTTCTCTCTCCCTCTTCATTTCAGTGCGTGCGATTCTCTAATCTCTTATAGTATGTTTGGATAAAGAAAGGGGAAGGAAAAGAAGGGGAGGGAGGAGAAGAGGAGGGGAAGGAAAGGGAGAGGAGGGAAGAATGGTGAGTTTTCCTTCCAAATCTCTCCATTGCTGGAGGGATTAATTTCTTACAATTTAATCCCTCCATTTCTCTCCCCTCCAATTCCCTTCCTTCTTCATTTGTTTTCCAAATGAAAGATGCCCATCTCTCTATTTCCCTTTCCTTCCTTTCCCTCCATTTTCTTTAATCCAAACACATCGTTAATCAGTCTTCAACTCCGTTTTAATCTTTAATTACCATAAGAGTTTCAAGGAAGAAATGGTAACTGTTCCTAGTGATTTTAGTTATAGCGAGCAGAAGTTTGCTACAAAAGGGGGTCCCATTCGAGTAGAATTCTAGGAAATGACATGTTTGAGCAAGATTACCCCGTCTTATCTTAAGACTTGTCACTATTTTTTTTTTTTTTTATGTTTTATAATATTGTCAAGATTTATTCAGACTATGTTTTTTTAACTCTTCAACCCTTAACTAATTAAAGACCTCTCAAAAACTTTACAACTATATTTCTATACATAGCAAACAATCCAACATCATCAACGTTAATTGCTGACATCACCAACGTTTCTTTTCAAGTCTTAACTTGAGTCTTGAAAAATCAAGGCTCTATTTCAGGACTAACTCTTGGCGAATAGTATTTATTTATTTTGAAATATATAGGATGGCTAAGTTGTAAATAAAAGTATCATCATATAGATAAATAGACAAAATAGTACCATTAAATGTTGTAGTGCTATAAATATTTTTTTAAAGGTACAAATAGGCATGTAAATTATACATCAAATATTATACCACTGTGAGATATGATAGTGCTATAAATATTTTTTTAAAGGTACAAATAGGCATGTAAATTATACATCAAATATTATACCACTGTGAGATATGATAGTACTATTAAGACAATCTATAATATAATGGTATAATATATATGCATAATAGTACACACTAAGTACCATTGTAACCACTCTTCTCAACCCTAGCCGTTGTTTTTGAAGGTGCTTCCATCGGTTTTAATCGGTGGAAAGCCCTCATCCTTGTTTCTTTAAAAGTTTTTTTAGGTTTATAATAATACTTCCTCCTTTTGGGAGAAACTTTTCTCTCTAAAAAAAAGGGTTTCCGATCTCCTTCGAAAGATGAGGGTTTTTCGACCTCCTTCGAAAAACAAGGTTTATCTCCTCTTTTTGGGAGAAAATCTTTTTAGATTTGAATCCATGATATTAGATCTAATGGATTGTTGTGAAATTATTTCGTTGGTGAAAAATTATGCGAGATCGCAAGGGTTATCAAGCTTTCGAATACAGATAGATGAATCAGAAGGAAAACATTCTCACGGTTACAAAAGTACAAAGGATTGTTAGATTGTCTCTCCAATAAGGGTGTTATTTTCCAGCGATATAAGCGGGAGATGTTCCACAGTACAAGATCTACTTGACAATCGTAGTTTTTAGGAAGGAAATTTTTATTTGATTCAACATGTTATGTATTTTTTAATGTAAAAGCAAAAGTGAAAGGATACCAATGAGGATTTTCTAATTTTTTTTATTTTACAAATATCAAGTGATCATTGATTTATGAGTAATACATTAAAATAATATAAATACTTCTTATTAATGAAACATCATAAATTATACCGTTATTTCTCATATACAGAGTATATTCTATTGGTATCCTAAAAAATCAAAACATTCTAAATTGAAAGAAATTAGAGAAGCTATTGCGTGTGGATGTCCGCACGCAAATTTACTTGCGGCTGGCTTGGCTGATATGTTTTACTTGTTGGCTGATATGTTTCATTTGTTGGCTGATATAGTTTTAATGTTGACTAATATATTTCTTTTGTTGGCTGATATTTTTTTCCCCCTTTTGTTGGCTGATATCAAACATCGTTTGGCTTATATGTTTCCTTAGTTTGTTGATATATTTATTTTATTGGGAGATATGTATATTTGTTAATAGAGTTTATTCGCCAATGGGACATAATTTATTCAATTATCTTCAGGATTAGGAAAGAAATCAGCCGTTTCCAGGTGAGTTGTATCACCGTAATCAAAATCACCTTCGCATTCCTCGTACACCAAATTTGTTTCCACTTTCTTTCCTTTTTGTTTGATTGATTGTTGATAGAGGTCTACTAGATGTTTTGGTGTGCGACACACACAAGACCAATGGCCTTTCCTCCACAAAGGTAGCATATATTTTCATTTTTATCCTTCTCATCCTTATTTCCATCTTTAATGTTCCACTTCTAGTGAGAGTATGAGTTCCTAAAATGACCACCTCGACCACGATCATGTCCACGTCCACGGCCGCGACCACGACCTCGACCACGGCCTCGACCACGACTGCTGGCGTGATCTCTAGCCTTTTGCTCTTTCCTACTATGGGATGTCGCATTCGCCTCAGGGAATAGAGTTAAACCAGTTGGGCGTGATTCATGATTTTTCATTAATAGTTCATTATTTTGCTCGGCCACAAGGAGACAAGATATTAATTCAGAATATTTTGTAAAACCCTTTTCACGGTATTGTGTCTGCAGGACAACATTGTTTGCATGAAAAGTAGAGTATGTTTTTTCTAACACTTCTGCATCCGTGATTTTCTCTCCACATAATTTCAATTGTGATGTAATTCTAAACGTGGCTGAGTTGTATTCACTCACAGACTTAAAGTCTTGTAATCTTAAATGTAACCAGTCATAACGAGCTTTTGGTAATATCACAGTTTTTTGGTGGTCATACCTTTCCTTTAGATTACTCCAAAGGACTTGTGGGTCTTTAACAGTCAAGTACTCAGTCTTAAGGCCTTCATGAAGGTGATGGCGAAGGAATATCATAGCTTTAGCCTTATCTTGGCTTGTTGCAGTGTTGTTTTCTTTAATAGTATCACCAAGTCCCTTTGCATCTAAATGTATTTCAGCATCTAACACCCAAGACAGATAGTTGTTTCCACTAATATCAAGAGCAACAAATTCGAGTTTTGCAAGGTTTGACATGATTCATTGATATATAAAACAATATTATAAATTAGGAACTAAGATGGTATAATAAATATATATACTCCAAGTTTCAATTAAGACAACTAATTTCAAGTAAGTAATTATAACAAGATTTGCGTATTGAACCTTGAGAAGGTTACTGTTCATGAGACCACAATTAAGTCCACTAATCAATTATCATAACAAAACATGAAACCTTAATTGATAAATTTATATGTAATACTTGACACTAATACTTTGCCTAACTTTAGCTACTGTTAAGTCTTTGACTCAAAATAAACCAATCCGACTAGTTCGTTGATTCATTATTAATAAACCGAACCCATAGATTAATGTGTAATTGATACAACTATACAAATCTTTTATCAAACAACAAGGCAATGAATGGAGTGTAAGTTAAAAGATATAATTTGTAATATAATTGGGTTAGCAGGATAGAGCATTGATACATAATATAATATAATATTATTTATTTATTTATTTATTTTCAATCACAAAAAGATAATTATGGGTTAATTGATAAAAGGTATGCAATCAAACAACCGAAACATGCTAAGCGCCTCTATCTAAGGATTACAGGTAGCAATCAGTAGCATGTGTGTAGCCTAACTATAAAGAGATAAATCTTAGCGTACATAACAATAATATACAAAAAATATATTTTACACATATGTTTAACACAAAGTATATAGTAATCACATGCAAGTACGGTGGATATCAAATACATACATGATGACACACGGTATATGATTATGGAATTGTAAAGTAAATAAAGAGATAAAATAGCCCTGAATGATCAAAAGTAAATCCTATGAGGCTATGACACAAACATATATAAGGCCAATAATTATGTCATTTATTTGATCAATCACAAAAGTAAGCGACATGATCCAAAATCATATATTTAAGCAATTCAATTAACCAAATGAATAATATACATATGAAACGAATACGAGTTAGATAATAGTGGCTCTTATTAAGTTATATCGCTCAAGTAGTCAATACAAGTTAGGCAGATTGTGCATCAAAAATCTTATACTTCGTATGAATCATCGGTAGTCAATTTGCATACATGTTTATAAATCAAGAATAATTACAATATGATGAAATAATCAACGAATGTGCGGCAATAATATCATGTTTATTATTATAGCTTCAAAATTCATAATTTAGGAGAAATAGAATAGGATGATAGGGTACTTTTTCTAGCCGAGGAATTGTAAAGTTGCTAATATTAATATGGCTGAATTCCTTCGTAGGTTTGTTTAGTCGGCTATGGTGTTGATAACGTGTTAAATATGGAAGAGAAATAAAGAGAGATAGGAGAGAAATTTGAGAGAGAATAAATCAGTCTCACTTAATCCATAGAGTGGGGTATATATATACATACAATATAACAATGGTTTGCTTAGATAACAATAAACCCTAGATCTAGAATATTCCGGAATGATAAAAGGAGGATAATGGATATCCACACAATATTTCATAACAATATTTTAATTGTTGGCTTATATGTTTCATTATGTTGGCTGATGTGTTTATTTTATAGGCTTACATGTTGCTTTTGTTTGCTGATTTCATCCTTTTGTTGGCTGATATGTTCCTTCTATTGACTTATTTGTACCTTTTGTTTGCTGATTTCATCCTTTTGTTGGTTGATATGTTTCTTTTGTTAGATGATATGTTCCGTCTCTTCGCTGATAAGTACATTTTGTTGGCTGATACTTTACTTTTGTTGGCTGATAAGTTCCTTTTATTGGCTGATACGTTTTTATTAATGTCTGATATGTCTCTAATATTGACACTACTAGAAATAGGCCGAATTCCGACGGACCATTTCCAACGGACATGTTTTTCCGTCGTAAATTCCGACGGATTTTTATTTCGTCGGAAATTTACGACGGATTTCCTACGGAATAAAGATCCATCGGAATTTATGGGCTTTCCGACGGAATATTCCGTCGGAAATTTAATGTTTCGACGGAAATAAAATCCGTCGGAAATTTCCGACGGAAATAAATTCCGTTAGAAATTTCAACGAAATATTCCGTCGGGAAATTAATTTTCCGTCGGAATATAATTAAATAATAAAAACAAAAAAACTCTAAAAAAAACCCGGTTCCCCCCTCCCCCTATCATTCCTTTTTTCTCTCTTCGCCTCTCTTCTCTTTCTCTCTCCTCACTCTCTCTCCTCTCTTCTTTCCTCTTCTCTTCTCTTCTGATCTCTGTACTCCTCCATTCCGCCCTCTCTTTCTCTCTCTTCTCCTTCCTTCTTCGTCCCCTTCGTCTTCTTCGACCACCACAACAACCGGTGACGCAACAACACCACCACCACAGCAACGACACCAACAACGACACCAGCAGCAACGACAACCACGACAACCAGTAACAACACCAACCTAACGGCGACACATTGCAGATCTAAGGTTTTTTTTTTTTTTAATTTTTTTCGGATCTCTATTAATTCAGAAGATAAATGTATATATATTTCTTTTGTTTGATTTCATTTTTTTTTGTATTTTTTTCGGATCTCTAATGTACGATTTGGGTGTTATGATTTTTTTTTTTGTTTTTTTTCGATTTATTATTTTACGAATTGGTTTTTTTTATTTTTCGATTTAGGTTGGGCTGTTGGTGGTGGCTAGACAAGGTAGGGTAGGGTGGGGGTCCGGTCAGGGTGGTGGGGGAGGTTTAGTTTGGACAGGTGGATGTGGGAGGTTTGGATGGGGGTCTGGGTGGGGTGGGGTCCGAGGTGTGGGTTATTAGGTGGGTTTGGGTTTGGTTTGGTTTGGTTTGATGGGTCTGGGTCTGGTTTGGTGGGTCTGGGTTAGGTGGAGGTGGTTGGGTGGTGTGGGGTGGTGTGGGGTTAGGCGTGGTGTGGGTGTGGGTGTGGGTGGGTTGGAGGTGGTTAGGCGTGGTGGTGGGTGTGGGTGGGTTAGGGGGTTGGTTAGGTGGGGAAGTGGTGGCTGGACAGGGTGGGGTAGGGTGGTTGGGGTGGTGTTGTTTTTTTTTTAATTTTTTTCTTTCTGTTGTTTCCGTCGGAATTTTCCGACGGATTTGTATCCCGTCGGAAATTTCCGACGAACTTTCCGGTGGCCAGAACACCTCTTCCTACGAGAAAATTCCGTCGGAATTCCGTCAGAAAACACTGTTCCGATGGAATTTCCGACGGAAAAGGCCGTTTTTCCTACAAATTGGTTTACGACAACCTGTTCTGACGGAAATTCCATCGGAACAATGTTTTCCGACGGAATTCAGTGTGATTCCGACGAAATTTTTCCGTCGGAATTAGCCTGTTTTCTAGTAGTGTGACTGATATCAAACATCAATTGGCTGATATGCTTATTTTAATGGCTAATATGTGTTATTTGTTGGCTAATATGATTAACAACATAATTTATATTATTAACATAACATATACGAAGCTCTTCTTCTCTCTCCTCTTTCCCTTATCTTCCTCTCTTTTTCATTTCCTTCTCTCTCCTCTTTCAATGGAACAACAACACCGACACACCATCTACCGAACCCAGCCACAAAGCCTCACGCCACCCTACCCCATCGATCCCACCATCTACTGAACCACCGTCCATGATAAGTTTATTTTATATATATATTTATTCCCCGTCCCAATGGTCATAATTGTGTTTATTTGAGCTCTACGGAGCTATTTTTATTACTAATATACGTTTTCTAGTGTTTTTGTAGTGTTGGTATAATTTTTGTAGGAATTTGCAGAATTAGGATAATTCACGAGCTTATTGAGCCACCACAAAAAATATTAGAGTCGAATCGTATTTTATGACCGTATATTTAAAGCCCAAGGTCAAGCTAATTAATTTTGGTTAGGTGATTAAGGGCTTGGTTCAAGTAAAGAGGCTCAATACTTAAGACTCTAAATAAAGGCCACAACTACTTAGGTGTTCAAGCCAAGCATGCTGATGAAGGAAGCCCAAAGATAAAATCGACTTTGTGGGCTGAGAGATAGCCGAGCCCGATTGGGCGCTTGATATTGCAATAATGCTACTGCGTAATTTCGTTGTTTATGCTCAACAATATAAAGCCCAATAGTACGGAGGAGAAGTCCTTATGCAGCTTTGATGATTAGCCTAGGGGATTTAGAATTAGACTTGGATTAAATTTCCTTTTTCTTTTCTTATTTAAGGAGGTAGTAGTAGTACGTGGGGAGGGGGTTATCTTAGTTTAGTTTTAGTTTTTGCTTTTGTTTCTTTTTTTTTTTTTTCTTATCAACTTTTGTTATTATTACTAAGTTTTAATATTATTTCTTTGTTTTCTCTTTCGTTTAATTATTTTCATATTAGTTTATAATTATTGTTTTAATCATGCTTCCTTTATACGCTTTGCTTAATTTAGATTTAAATATATGTGAGTAGTTTTATTTCTAGGGTTTGTGGGGATCCATGAATAATATGAAGGGGTAAATTATTATTATTTATTATTGATGATTGGTTAATTTCCTATTTATTGATTTAATGCTATGCAATTAGATTTGCGCAGGTTTAATTGTATGAGTTTTGCAATATTGATTCGAGATTCGAGAGATGAGAATTGATGTTTAGGCTTAGTTTCAATAGGCATGTTAATTTATAAATGGTTAGGTCGAGATTCGAGAGATGAGATTTAATACCGGTAGATTGATTATGTGATTATAATACGTAGCGACAACCCTTTATAATCTGGTTAATTTATGCATTGATAATTGATTGTTATGTTTACCCTGGAGTATTATTTATTGGTGAACCTATACCCTAGAGCTTTTTATTATTGATTATTCCTTTGATTTATTTGCTTAGTTTTATTATTAATTTAATCCATACAAATACAAATTGGTTACCTGATAATTTAGATTATAATAATTAATTAGGAGTAAAAGAACATTGTTTCCCTTTGGATTCGACCCTACTTCCCTATCTACTTTAGTTAGAGGACTTAGGAATTACTTTTGATTAGGTGATACGACTTAAGCCTGTCAGTCCATCGAACCCACCTCACCCACAAACCACCGCACCATCGAACCACAGCCAAAGCGCACCCAAACTGTAATACCCTGGAAATTTCCTTCTTTTAAAAATACTCATTTTACTCTAAATAAAACACTTTTTAGGATATAACCAAAATATTACCGCCACCGTGATAACAGGTAAGGCTAATTTTCAAAGTCACACAGCGGAAGTCTAAAAATAAAAACCAACTTTCAAAATAAAATTTAAGTTCACAACCTCAAAACAAAGTAGAATAAAACATTCACAAGTTGGAGCCAATTCAAACATGGCCCTTTTTAAAACCGATTAAAAATAAGGGAACACAATAACGCTAATTCAAAATATTAAAACTAAGAAACATAACAAGTAACTGTCTGCACTCATTCCCATTATGTTCTTCATGCTTCAAGTACCTGTTACTTTCTCTTTATTTCAACCCCTCTACTCACCATATAAATGGATCATAGTAGGGCCAATCCAAAGGAAAGCCAAACACAAACACAATAGTACAAATCAACAAAAGTTGAGTACATATGCACCACACTAAAATGAATATCCAATCCTAGCATCAAATAAAATAATTAAAACATGCTCGTCATACAATCACAAGTCAACTTACCTTTGACTCATAACTAGCAATATTAATTATTAATAAATAAATTTGGATTACGCATCGAACGGGTTTCCTTCCTTTTAAAAATAGTCCATTAATCATGGAGCTTCCAATTAGGGAGCTACCCCAATTAGCACCTACTATGTCACACTTGTGATGGAATTCCAGCGCATTAATAATAAAAGAAAGTACAGCATTCTGTACCCCTGTAGAAGTTATGGTTAAATATAAAATCCCATAACTCCTCCCATATGTTATACTCCAGGTATATACGTTCCAAGAGTTTTGGTGCATATCCTCTCACACTTTACGTGATTTACCAATTTAACTTAAGATGACTCCAACCAACAATCAAGAATAAACATGACAACAATCAACACATACTTCCAATACATTCTTGAATTAATTAGTGAGCACATACTATTTATTTTAATTAAGGTTTCTTGCCTAGTTTTGCGCACAAAATTGCACGATTACTACCTTGGTGAAAATGCACTACTAAACTTCCTTTACTTGAACTCAACTTACATGAGCGAGTAAATAAATAAATAAATAAATTAACTTCTTGACTCAACACCAATAATAAATGGGTGAGAAATAAATTCATGAATCATGTTCAATAATTCTAATTTTAGCTCTTTTAAACATACATAAACCTTGCTTATTAAATTCATGCTTTCTTGATACTTGAAAATAAAACATACTTTCATGATTCATACATATTCAACTTGTATCATGTCTCAAATAATATATTCACATGCTTGCATAACAATTTATGCTCAACCAACATCAATTCCAAGCATATAATCAACCAAATATGCTACTAATTTCATCACTTAAATCATACTTTACAATCCTAGCATGATACTACGCATACACAAATATTCTTGTGCACATACATACCTTGAATAATGCCTAAACTCGGCCACACTCGCTAGAAAACACCTAGCTCGAAGCTTCCTACATATAAGAATACATAACTATAATTAATCCACTATTCTCACAAATTTCCAGCAGCTATAATACACTTTAAACCTTACTAATTATACCAATTTAATGACATAAAAGCCATAAAACCTTTTCTTTAAGTGGGTACTTTAATCCTTTCAAAAAGACTTAGTTTTTATGACTTAAATAAAATTACAGCGCACTTATTTAATATAAAGTATCACTAATAGACTAGGAAATCATATTGAATCAAAAATCTTTTCCCCCTTTTATGGGTAATCAAACCCTAACACAATAATTAAAAGTAGTATAATTAAATTCCAGCATTAATTTGAGGGCTTTAAACTCATTAAAAACATGTTTAAATCATTAATTAAACAACAACAACAACAACCTAGGATCAAACCCTAACCATAAACAATAAATTCCCAAATTCTAGGCTTTGTAAATTAGGGTTTTTTATTAAATAAAAATCTGAAAATTATAGGGATAATTTAACAACATCAAATATCCAAAATCAATACCAAAACATAATCAAAATCATGCTTTAAATTAATAAAAACAACTAGAATTAAATTAGGAAGAGACAAGAGTTTTTTTTTTTTTTTTTTTGACAATACCGAACCAAAAACAAAAGGAAAGAGAAGGGGTGGCCGGTTGCTGCTTCTGGCCGTCGGTGGTCGCCGATGGCTGGTGGCGGTGCCGGTGGCTGTCAGCCGTGAGGGGAGGAGAAGAGGGAGAGAGAGGCGTGGGAAAAAGAGAGAAAAAAAGAGAGGAAAAAGAAGAGAGAAAAAGGAGAGAGAAAATAGGAGGAAAACTTTTGGGATTTTGTGAAATCTGACAATTATGATTTTTGAGTTAAAATCTTGGGGTGTTAAAGTATTTATACTCCCCTTTTAAAACAAAAACTCATAATTACAAGACTGCTATTACTAAATCCTACTCCCCCTTAACTTCTTCCTGTGGGGCCAACTTATTACGCTGTTAAGTGTCCTCAATTTCCCAACAAGTTGATCCAACTATTTAATAAGGATGACCCAATTCAAAACACTTTTATTGCCTCAATTAATGACTCACATTATTTATACTCACTTAAATAATATTTAAATATTTAATTTCTTTTAAAATGGAATGAATCATTTTAATTTATAAAATAAATCATTTATATATATAAAAATATTATAAAAATACGGAGTATTACACAAACCGCCACCACAAATTCGCACCCAAATCACACCCAAACCGCCACCACAAAATCGCACCCAATTCGCACCCATACCACCAAACCGTCACCAAATCGCACCACTGAATGACACCACCACCACCAGCGAACGCCTCCACCTCCGCATCCGCCATCTACTTTCAAACAGAGCAAATCATCAATTTTGATTCAATAGCAAATTTTGAAACAATACTCCCTTTGGATTAATTATAATTGTTTATGCAATTGATGTGAATTTCTGATTTTAATTTAGATCTAGAAACAAGGAGGAGCAGAGGAGAGATAAAGAGAAAGGAAGATAAGGCAAAATCGTACCGACGCACGAATTGTTGGGTGCGGACGTCCGCACCCAATAGTTTGTGAAGGAATTATATATATGCGCTTTACAAAACTTAATTTATATAAATTATGTATTTAAGATTTGACATTTGACATAATAAAAAAATTTATCCTAAAATTCAATCAACAACCTGGATATATCGCCTTACAAATTTGGAAGGGAAGTCAAGGCCTTCGTTGTTGAGAAATGGAGTATCACCTGAAGTGAAGGGATTTGTAGCTAAGAAATGGAGTAAGAGAGAGGAAGAATAAATGTTGTCATTATTATTATGCGAAAAGAATCAAAAGGTCGATCAAATAATTCGAACCTTTTTTTTTTTATTTGATTGAAAAGCTTTGTGAATTCGTGGTTTATGTTAGGCTTAGAAACGAGAGCACAATATATAAAAAAGGAATTGGGTAAAGTCTTATTTTTATAATGTTAAACCCCATTTTATATCAATATGCAACTCAAAAAATAAGTCAATATCCAAAATTACTCTTAGCTTTATAACAAAGCAATGTTGGTGAAGATGTAAATCTTTAGGCATTTTTATAAGTTAGAGGATATGGAAGTTAAAAAAAATAAATATGGAGTTAGTAAAATAAATTGGTGAGCTTATTTGAGAGAGAGGTGAATAATATTTGGGATGAAAATTGGAGCAGGAATGATAAAGTGTAAAGAAGTTGTGAGATGAATGGAAGGTGGATGTTATGGTTTGAAAGCTTCACAACACCTTCTCCATTTTTGGGATAACGAGGGTTTTGTGAAGGGGTTGATTTGGCAAGACGGATATTGAGTTGATGTTGTAACCATTGTTGGATATTGAGTTGATGTTGTAACCATTATGAGAGCAACAAAAGGAGTTTTGGTGTGATAGTGAGATAATCATGATTCTTATGATCTATTGAATAACTATTTAGATGGATAAAATTTTACTTTTTATTAGTATTGTTAGATGATGATTATTGCGTTTTCTTTGAGAATTTGTAGTTTTTTTCATATATATTTTTTTAAAAAATTTAAAAGAAATCCGTTTATTTAATTATGTTTAATATATTTATCTGTCGTTTATTACTAAATTATTTGGTGAAAAGAGAAATAATGTAATGTTTAATCATATAATTAAAAAAAAAAAAAAAAAAAAAAACAATTGAGAGGTCGATGAAATAGGAGTAGGCCCCTCCATAGCCTCAAGTAACCCTACACAAAGGGGTTTATTAAGCTGATTTTAGTATCTACTGACAAATAACAAGAACACATATAAATTATTAAAGGGATATTTTATTTGGTAGTCTCGTGGTTTTAAAAATTCTACATGGAAGACGAACTTTTTTTGGACTCTGTTCAGTGGCACCAAGGTTTAGAATAATTGACCATAGTGACCCTTTTTAGGTTTATGGCTAACCTTTTTAATTAAAATGGTTAACCTTTGATTTTTTTTATTAAAAAAATTATTTAAATTATATTTTAAAATAATAAAATTAAAAAAAAAATTAATAAAAAAAAATCCTCCCCTCCAACCACCTTCCCCTCCAAGCACCGGCAGCAACACCATCTTCCTCTCCAAAATCCGGCAACAACTTCGCAGCCCACCAGCCAAACACCCACCAAAACCGCCCAGCCACCACCTACCTCACTAAGTAACCACCCCATCTTCTCTCAACACCGCACAACTCCAACCTCCACCTTTCCACCACCATGCCGCAATCGAACAACCGTGCTAACCGCCATCGCAAGCAACCCACAACCCCTGATCTCCTTCGCAAGCAACCCGCAACCAGCAACCTGTCCCTCTCCTTCGTAACCCGCAACCCGCAAAACCGCCCAACAACATCGCAAGCAACCCGCAACCTATCCTCTCCCTCTCTTTCCAACCCAAACCCGTAACCTCTCCTCTTCCTGTCTCTCCAGCCCAAACCTGCAACCTCTCCCTCTCTCTCCAGCCCAAACCAGCCACCTCTCTAGAGGTCGGGGCTGCTTGATTGGGGGTTTCAGTTAGGAATTTCGTGGGTTTTGTAGGGGATCCAGGAGGGAGGAAAGGGAGGCATCGCGACTGGGGGAGGGAGTCGGCGTCGGCACCAGGGGAGGAAGGTTTGGGAGCGGCCGACACCGGGGGCAGGTGGATTGGGTTTGGGCGTTGGGCAGAGTGGAGTACTAGAATGGCTAGTGGTGATTTTTTTTTTTTTTAAATTTTATTATTTTAAAATATAATTTAAATAATTTTTTTAATAAAAAAATCAAAGGTTAACCATTTTAACTATAAAGGTTAGCCATAAACCTAAAAAAGTTACTATGGTCAATTATTCTAAACCTTGGTGCCACTGAAGAGAGTCCAAAAAAAGTTCGTCTTCCATGTATAATTTTTAAAACCACGAGGCCACCAAATAGAATATCCCATTATTAAATAAGGGTTTGTGATTAGGTTTTTCAAATCAAAAGATGAGTGGAAGCATAAAAAATAAAAAATACTTAAGGAGGGCTGATATATGGGAAGACTTGAGTGTGGTTCTTATATGCATGTATATGCTTGAATGCCCAACTTTAGTATATATAGGCAATATAGCTGAGGGTAGTGGTTGAAACAAATGACTAGGAGGTTGTAGAGTTGAACCCCCTTCATCATTTTCATTGATATAATGTTCTAGAATTTTCAGGAGTATTACAAAGTTCAATGTGTTTTCATGATATAAATTTATAGATAATTCTAGAAAATACTCGTAATGTGCAGTCATTAACCTTGCTTGATTTATTTGAAATTGTTTTTTTTTTCCCCTCTTATCTTAATTCTTTAATTAATATGTAAATAGTTCTTTTCTCTAATCATATTAGATTGCCATATTTCAACTTTTCAAATATGAACCGTCCTTGCCCTTTTCTAAACTACACCCCACCCACTCAAACAATTACAAGAGTTTGCATGTGAATTCATTGAATGCCATATCCTGAAATTATCACCAAATTAAACCAAAAAAGGTACAAAATTCACAACGAAAGGGCCAAAATATCAACATTTAGTAAAGAAGAAAATGACATTTTTTTGCTTGTTTTTTGTTCAATTTTGTTTAGATAGTAGGCCCAAATTATAATCTCTCTTAAGATTTTTAGGCCATTCATTACATTATTTTCTATTATCATCACTTTTAATAATAGTATATACTACCATTATCTCATTTATGCAACTGGCAGGATAGTTTTAGCACTTTTTTTCCCTTTGAATTCAGATTCTTCTCCATTTTTTCATACTGGAAAAATATCACAAAGATGATGCTCATTAGAAGCTCATCCACCCCTATTCTTGGCTCACTTCTTTCGTCGTACTCGGAATCTCCAAACCACGGCAACCACTCGGAGTTTACCTCTCCCAAACTTCTACCACCTAAGAAGTTTTCCTTCCATCAAACACCTACATGTCCCCTGAATCTCATTACCCCCTCATCAATCTCCAACTCGTCCCCTTCTATCAATGCCGAAATCACATCTGATGGATCTCAAACCAATGGATTTCGAAGGGTACAATCTGAAGGAAACTTGGAAGAATTAGTCTGCAACAGTTTTGATGAATTCAACCGTTCTATCCCTGCTGCCAAGAAGCTTCCGCGCAAACCCAGCTGCTCGATTCTGCAATCCATCCCTTCATTCTCGATGCACAATTCCAAAAGGCGGTATGAAGATGATGAGGAAGAAGAAAGTGATGAAGAAGTTCAAGAGGAAACAAGGGATGATTCAAGCTTAGATAAGACCATAGCATTTATGAACATGGGGTTACAAGAAAGGTATCTTTATGCTCAAGAGGAGATTGAAATGGTACCCTCTAAAATGCATCTTGCAAGAGGACTCGGAGTATTTACTGGTGGCGGTGGATATAACAATGGAGGAAGAGGCAGTGGAGGACACAACGAATATAAACCAGTAGGTTTTGGCGAAGATGGCAGCAACAAGGCTAGCATGGCAGAACACTACAAGAATATGGTTGAAGAAAATCCTGGAAATCCAATGATCTTGAGAAACTATGCTGAGTTCCTTCATAAGGTTAACCTCGAACATTCATATTCTCTTCATGTAGCATACAATCTCATACTCACATTCTTCTTATTGCTAATCTATCTCACCTCCAGTCTAAGGATCTTAGAGGGGCTGAGGAATATTACTCTCGAGCAATACTAATGGATCCCGGAGATGGTGAAATCCTTTCACAATACGCGCAGCTGATTTGGGAGCTTCATGGCGATGAAGAACGAGCTTTAAGCTACTTCCAAAGATCTGTTCAGGCTTCCCCTGAAAATAGGTTGGTATTAAATGCTGTATTTGGTTTCTCGTGTCCCTTTATTTTCAACTGATTTTTTCCTGTATTGCTTTCCTGCAGTCATGTGATTGCAGCATATGCTAATTTTCTCTGGGAAACAGAAGAAGGAAATCTATGCACAATGCCTGCAACTCGTCATCAGAGCGCCATGATTGCTGCAACAACCTAGATTTTCCGATCCGTTCAGGGTTAAAAAAAAACTCGAAAATATTAGCAACACCAGCCTAGGGAATACTTTTCCCGTTTATTTTTTTGTGCTAGAGCCCTGTTTATTATATATTTCATGCCCTTCAACAAGAAGAATTTGTATGTTCAGAAGAAATTTAAGATTCATAGTAAAACCACAGTATCATATATGCATAATGTAACAGACTAATTATATGCTCCTTGAAAAATAGCTAGTAAAATACGTATGTAAATTCCTTTTTAATGCACAATATGGAATGATCTTCCAACACTACTAATGAATAATATGATCAATTATTAAATAAAGCCATTTTGATGATTCCGAACAAACTTGAAATCATCTCATTAGTCAATTAACCAAAATTCAGATAACACAAATTCAATTCAAGGGCAGCCAAATAACCAAACTTTTGGCAGAAAATTCAAAAAAAATCCCCATGTAGATGAAAAACACATGGGGACGAAGGCGGCATATATGCACCTTCTATAGAAATATAAACTAAATATGCTTCTCATGCCCCCACCTTCAGGTAAATAATTCAATACCCCTAGATCAAGGGTGGAGACCTAATTGTTTATCACTAACAAATAAGCAGACAAAAGCACCTACAGAGAAAGAACAATAATTTAGCGTCACTCTCCCCTCTTCCAGATAATTGCTTCGCATATGCTTTACTGGGGCGTATGCACTAGTAGAAGCCATTCCCTGAGCCTCTACTCCTATTGTAGTCGTTGCTGTCTCCTCGACCAGGGTTTCTGACCCCACCACGTCCTCTTGAAGTGTTATTTTGGTAACCACCTCGGCCTCTGCCTCTAGCTGCAGCTGCCAATTGTTTATGTGAATAAGAGAAATCAGAACCGTGATAATTTTCAGAAGGGGCACTATTGTAAAATGGAAAAGTACTTGTACATAAGCAAAATGTTGAATCA